ATGCATATTACAGATAAGAAATAGCAAGAAAAATTAATAGAGGACTGATTAATTTTGGTTCATAAGTTACACTAGATTTTTTATATACATATATATATGAACAATGATAATACATTGAAAGTAGTCTGGAAAGAGATTCACTAAGGTTTTTGGGATTTGTGGCTTTTAATTGGTAGGATTACGGGCTTTAACGTTTTTTCTGCCTTTTGACCTCTATTCTTTGATTTTTCAGGAATAAGCATATTATTAAACAATTTTAAAAAGGGTTTGTGTGCTATAAAATGAGGCTATTGGAGAGAATCACCTTGTTCCTGCCCAGGAGGTAATGTTTGCTCTTCACTGGCAATCGTTCCTGATTCAATGGTTAGTACTTTACTCTCAGCTTCACTAACAGTCCCAATTATTTCACTTTCATCCTCAGACATGGATTTAATTGTCCAGAGAGACTTTTGGCTTCGGATCTTATTTAATAATTTTTTAAAAAGAATTTTTGACGGGATCTGTTGGGTGTTCACTGCCAAGGGAACTAAAAGAATAAAAAAGAACTTATTCAGCAACTATTATAGATCAGGTAAATTGTTCTATATTTATACTAAGTATAGTTAACAACTACTAAGTATAGTTAACAACTACAACTACTATTTAAAACAAAAACATAACTTTATTTTTCTCAATATTTACAATTTAACAGTATACGCAACAATGCTATTTGACTCAGGTACAATTTTATAACCAGAAATAATTTTTTCAACTTAAGTTTAAATAGTAAAGGTGCCAAAATTCAACTATTTCCCAATACAAATTTAAAGCTTAAAAAAACCTATCAGGTTTCTGGAGCCACAGAGGCTGAACGAACCCCTGAAACTACTGTCCTGCAATAACCTTAAACCAAAAAATATCCCCTGAAGTTTTCTTAAAACCAAAGAATAGTTTAGCTTAACTAGTAAAGAATGTCTGCCTTGAGCATGTGCGCTCGTTTAAAATCTATCTAAACGGGATCAAATTGTCAACAGCAACTTCAAAGATCAGATGGAAAATTTAGGGAGCAGTGGGTTTATGTTAACAGGGGAGGAACAACTTGGAAAATGAGGGTGAGACTGGCTGCACAATTCAAAGAATGTAATCAATGTCACTGACTTGTACATGCAAAAATTGTTGACTTGGTGTATGTTCTGCTGTGTATATTCTCAA